AGACTCTCGCAATGTGCCCCCTCTTATGGCAGTTGTTGCAAACGGCTCCTTTAAACTTGCAGGTGGCCCTTTGATGTGATCCCCCACAGGCTAGGCACAGGGTGATGTGCTTGGGTGGACCGGTGTATTCTTGTTTGGCCCCTACCTGCGACCGTCTGTCATTGGTGAGGCGATGGACATCGTTCTCATCGTTGTGGCCTTCCTCCGCTTCCACCTCTTCGGAATGGACTGGGAACGCTGCTAGCTTGGCGCTTGGGCCCTGAATTTCGGTGATTGAGTTCGTAGCTAGCTCGGCTGCTAGGGCCTCCTCTACCGCTTGCGCGAGGTTGAGGTCTTTCTTAGCTAGCAGTCGCCTCTGTAGGTTGAGATCCTTGACCCCACAAACCAATTGATCGAGGAGCATGTCCTCTAGGTATGTTCCAAACCCGCAGTGCAGGGCTGCTGTTCTGAGGGCGGCCATATATTGGTTGATGGTCTCCTTACTTGATTGCTTCCTCATTCGGAACGTGAACCTTCTGGCGATTTGTGAAGGTCTGGGAGCGTAGTGGTTTGTGAGGATCTCAAGCAACTCGGACCACGGAACGTTTTTTAATTCTCTCGGCGCCACGAGTGCTGCAGCGGTATCGTAAACGGTGGCTCCGCAGTAGATTAGGAAATAGGATTTTTTCCGATGCTCTCCCGCATCCGACAGGCCGACCGCATCGATGTAATGATTGAAACGGTTCTTATACGATTCCCACTTCTCTTCGTCTGGTTTAAACGCCGGGAATACTGGATTGGAACTCATGGTACTGGAACGGCTGGGCTACCTGCGGGAGAAATCTCTCTGGGACTACGAACGCTCATGAGTTACAAGTGATATCAGCTCTGGAGAGGTTTTTTGCTACCCTCTCTTTCTCTCTCTCTGGGTTACCACGTTGGCTGCTAGCCGTTGGAGGTGTCTTGATTCGCGCCAAAAAAGTGGGCGTTAGTGACTCTCTACAGCGCTGTGCTGTGATTCCTACTGGCCCGAAATTCAAATGACACCCGTTTGAATTTCTCGCCAAATGCAGAGCGGCTGCGGCTCGCAGCGCTTCACTTTCCCCGTAGCGAGGCTAACAAGCGGCTACAGACGCTTCTAACTATTTGACTCAGACCGCTTTCTCTGGCTGCGGATCTGCGTTTGCTCTTTTTGATCGCTCGTTTCGCTAGCTGACCGCTCTCTCTGGCTGCGGATCAGCGTTTCCCCTGTTGCCAACCGATCGCTCTCTCTGGGCTGTAGATCGGTGGCTAGTGACTCAGCGGTTGCAAGGTGCTTCTGGTAGCCATCCCATCCTCGTCGCCAGTGTTAAGTTTGAGCAATGAGAGGCTGAACCAGAGCATGAGTGCAACAGTACTTTATTTACAAATAAAGGGCTGACCGTGCTTGCCAAGCCTGGAACTGGCTCGCAGCAATCAGCGGCCAGTTGGACCCCGCAGCCTGCTTTTATAGCTGGCTGCTGGGGAGAACTGACCAATGGGAATGGGGGAAATAACGCCCACACAAGTGAGTGGACCTGAGTGAGAACTCCTTGAGTCCTCAGGACATAACAGATTTATTCCACTGTTTGCTTTTTATTTGACCCTCTATGAGACATGTTTATGAAAGGTGAGATAACAGGTGGAATATATAAATATGCAGTTCAGAGTCATTTAAATAGTGAGATGGGTGGTATATATATTTGATTAATAAATAAAAATAAATAAATATATGGGTAGCCTCTGGTTTGTGAGCTGTCCATCCTCTAATGCAGTGTTTCTAAAACTTGGCAACTTTAAATATTTGGACTTCAACCCCAGAATTCCCCAGGCAGCAAGCTGTTTATACAAAATTTCTCTAATGCATCTGTGTCTTCAATTCTGCTTCAAAATAGGATCCACAGGCTCTTTTATCCCCCAGTATATGCCTGCTCCCAGCAGTTTGTCAAAGTCCTGTTTTGAGATTTTTAAAACCAGTTCATGATGGGGAAGCGATCACACAATGAGCATAATTACTGTGCCTTTTCCTCAGCACAAACGTCATCATCATTATTCATGCTGTTGGGAAAATATTTTATATATTTTCCAGTCTTGAACAGGATGACTGCTTATTTGCTGCTATTATGAGTGAGTTGGTGACCATCTAAAGTAGAGGTGGGGTCTCCAAACTTGGCAACTTTAAGACTTGTAGACTTCTACTCACAAATTCCACAGCCAACCGTGCTGCCTAGGGAATTGTGAAAGTTGAAATCCACAAGTCTTGAAGTTGCCAAGTTTGGAGACCACTGATCAAAAGGTGTCTGGGAGATCTAGGTTAAAAAAATACCTCATAGTTTTTTAGAGGGAGAGGGAGAAGAGACTCCAGGCCTCTTTTGCTCCCAGAGATTTTGGTCAAGACTGTTCCTTCTCTATTACATTTGCTTTCTGGGCAGAGTAAGGTTAAGAACTCTATCCTTATCCCCGGAGATCTTGTGTAATTTTATCTGTGTGCAGGACAACCATCCGCTCCTGAAGAATTCTTAAGGGATTGCAGTGATAAGACTTGAATAGTTTTTAGTCTCTTGAGTAAAATTGATTTTAAAATGTTGTTTAGTTTTGACAAAAAATGTGAACGTTTATTTATTTGACTGTATTACTTTTGGAAAAATGCCTTACAAATATCAATGTTTTAAACATAGGAAATTTACAGTACATTTTGGACCAGCATAAACATTTTCTAATGCAGGAATAAATAGGACAGATTTAGAGATAGCAGTGATACAGGGAGTGTAAAAATGAGATAAGTAAATTTAAGAAAACAAATTTAGAAATGGATACATTTTCAAGTAAATTGAAATCTGATTTATTTCCCAGTTCTTCATTGTTTTTAAAGATTGGCCTAGTTAAAACTCCACTAAACTTGTAACTGCACCCTATCAAGTTATACTACACAGAAAAAAATTATATAAGTATTTGTAAAGAGTCAGGGTGATCCCTTCTGTAGCAGCATTCCCCTCCTTGGAGAGCTGCAATTTTTTCTCTTAGTCCCAGAAGCAGAGGAAACGTTCACACAGCAACAAATGCTAATGGCAGGTTTCTGGTGATATAAGGACAGAAGAAAAGGACAAGTGGATCTTTTTAATACTGAAAACAGCTTTGATTAGGGACCGAAGTTATTTTCTGTGGAGTATGGAACTTAATAATTTCTACAAATAAAGTAGCATGTGAGAAAGAACTGGACCTAAACATCTGTGTAATTCAAAGCTGAAATTCTTTTGTTTTATTGATTTTTCTTACTGTATTCTAGCCATTTTTCTAGAAAAAAATCAGTATTATGGGTTAAGGAAGATAGTGTTCATAAATATTTTAGGTATACAATCAACATCTTGTTGGCCCCACCAACTATGGCCTTTCCAAAGGACAGATATAAGAAAGTTTCTGATGTCCCAAGCTCTTTGTTCTTAAGAAACAAAATAAGAAAATAAATGTCTATTTCTTGGCTAGTAAAATATTCATTTCCTTTATTTTTAAGTAGAGGCATTTTCTCAATTTAATTTTTTTGCATGCGTTCAAAAAAAATATTTTATCTATAGAGAAAAGTGTGTACCAATGAAGTGTTTCAACATTTTGGATTGATTTTGGAAAAATGTTTAGTTATTTTTGTTAAGATTTCTATTGGCAGGGGTAAACACCCATGTTGCAAGGGAAATGGCTCAAGATCAATCCTTTGAATCCCCCAATTAAAGTGATTTTTGGTATATTAGAATAGAAAGAGTCTGCTTTGCCTGTAGGGTTGTTGGTCAAAATATAACATGATTCAGTATAAAGAAACTTGTATGTTTCTATACATCAAAACCTGTTCACGAATTAGCAGAGCTGATCTGAATTTGGGATGATTCACCCAACCCTCTTAACTTGTAAACTGCTGCTCATTAGCATATTACTCTTAAGTGGATTGCTATGGAATCAAATATTAAAGATAAAGGAAATGCAGTCACGATATTTTAATTATTGTATAGCTAAGGCAAAATTTGAATCCAGTTCCAAAATTAAATATTTTTGCAAATGGCCACAAAAATTGTTTTTCATGTTCTTAAACATGTATTATTAATAACAATAAAACCTTCACTTAGGGTGAAGTGTTAAGCATTAAAGCATGGCCACAGACTTATTATTTAAATACAAAGACAAATATAATACCTATTTCAAAAGATATGTAATATCCACAGCCTTTTTCTCCTAATTTAAAAGAACATACTCTCTTCTATTTTAAACTTTTCCTATTGGATGATATTCTAGCTGAAAGAAATATTATTTAATTAACGTTGAGCAAGGACTGGTGTCATGGTTGGTCATAAGGGTGTAATTTGTCTTGGGCTCAATATAGTTTGCTCCTAAAGACTTGACTAGTGTCCTAAGCCCACTATCTCAGCTTGATTTATCAGATACGTTGGTTATGTTCTTAGAATTGCTAGCTGTGATAATATAGAACATTGGCTACAGTACGCTCACATGGCAGTGCCAGTTTGAGAAAGACTGTCTAAGGGAATAAAGAAAGAATTACAGGAAATTAATGTATCTTTCAAATTGAATTGGAATACCAAAGTCTCTAGATGGCAACCAGGAATGGGGAAACAGTTTAAATTTATCCCCTTAGAGCAGACCAGATCTTCTTTGACTTCAATATTTTATTTTGAAGATACAAATGATATTTACAAGTAATAAAAAATAGCAACAGCTCCTGGTCCAGTATTTATGTTCTGCTCCCTGATTCTGTAGTTATGTCCTGGCTTGATCCTATCCATAAGCCCATAATGTACTGTACTCTGCAGAGCAAGTTTGTAAGTTACATAAAAAGTTACATGTTTGAAAGAAACAAGACAATCCTTTATAAACCATAGTTTGAAAGTGAGATTAAGATTAATGCAATATTTTACTCGTGTATTATTTTAACAAATGAATGTAAGGGAAACAGAATTATTTGTCTTCTCCTCTTCCTCCTCCTTTTTCTTCTTCTTTTGCAGCAAATTCCATAAAGCGGGAAATGCAAAGCGATGATGAGGATTCTAACAGAAAGCGTCTAAAGCGGGAAGATGGGATCATTGGGCAGGATGAAGGGAGCAGTTTGGAAGAGCCCCTGATTGAAAACCAGGAGATTGGGGAGAACAGAAAAATGCAGGAGCTGTCAGGCGAGGGAGGAATCCGGCTTCCGAATGGTAAACTGAAATGTGACGTCTGTGGCATGGTTTGCATTGGGCCCAATGTGCTTATGGTACATAAAAGGAGTCACACTGGTAAGCAGCCAAAAGAAAAAAAAATGTGATGACTGCCTTTGGCATCTGATGTTGATATTGCCTACGTCTATTCTCTAGCATTTCTCAATTCATCATTGATAATCATGTGCAGTAATGGGAAATATTTTCCTTTCAAACTTTGCTTACTAGGAAATAAATATTAAAAAACATGCATTTATGTTCTTATCTCTTTTGCAATAATGTTTGAGGAATGATAATTTCCATATTAAGTCTCCTTCACTATGACGTACATACTAAATTGGCTGTCTGTTAATATGAACCTCTCTTTTTATTGGTTTTACAAAATCCTCCCCTTCTACTATTTCTAGAGGACACTTGGTGATTTGAAATATTTACTAACATTAGAACAACCTTCACAAGAAAGACACAGAGACCAATGACAGATTCAGCATGAAAACAATCCTACCAGCTATCAGTCTCTATATGCAAAGCACTCTCCATTTTTAGAGAAATCTGAATTTATTGGGGAACTGTAAAGAATGGCATATGGTTAGGCTGGACTCAGAAATAAAATTTTGGTATGATGCATATCCACAATGAAAACTATATTCATGTCTACAAAAGAACAAAACAAAAAACCTCCATCCTTAAAAATACCAATAGCTGCCATGCCTCAGACTGACTAATACATCCCTATCCAAAGACTCTGAGATCAGCTTGCTTGGATTTTTCTCCTTGTTTTGTTAGATATTATAGGAAGGATCTAACCTGTCACTGCTTAACTAGATACGATCTTCATCTGATGCTGCTAGTGTATCTTCCTTGGTAGTTCCTGGATTAACTAAGATAGTCACTCTACTACCAAGAAACCAGGACTTATTTTTTCAATTTCAGTGTTTAATATGCCCGTGGAGTGAGAGGACTGTATTTTACTCTGAGGAAACACTGATAAATGCACACCATAGGGAAGTTTATGGAATTTTCTATATGTAGATGTGTTTGACATATACTTATTTCATAATGCATGTTGCCCAGTAATAACTCCATAACTTATCTGATCACCCGATCCTGAAAGTACTGATCTCCTCAGTGTTGTCTGAATAGCATTTACAAGGATTTCATTCTTTCCTTGCCTTTCACAGAAATATTTCCAGACCCATTTGGCAGGGACCGTGTTTACTTTACTTCTTGTATTCTGCTTTTCCTTCGTTTCCAGTGTAAGCTGCTTTCCCCAGACAATGTCTTTTGCTCTCTTCCTCCAGCACTTTCCTCCAGAAATGCAGGAACAGCTTCTATCTTTCACACTTTAAATATATTTCTCCCAAATAATTTCTGTTTAGCAAGCTGTTGTGTGAAGAGCAAGGAAGATTTGCTTCATACATTGATTAATTGCTTGTACAGGAGAGAATGATCTTTCTCTCAACTTTTCTCCGTTCCCCACTTCCAAGTACAGTTGGCTTCTCCTTCTGTCTCTTTTTTCCTTCCCTCACAAGAAAGAAGGGAACAAGACTAACTCCCTTTGTTTTGTTCCCTGGAGGCTGATTAAGGTGAGATACAAAACAACAACAAAAGGTCTGTGTTGTCAAAGGAAAATGTTGCAAGGAAAGAAGAAGAAACCAGAGTAAGATTTTTTGTAGGGGAAGGATGGAAGTTTTCCTGAGGCCTTTGCAGATGGCCAGGCTTTGTCTTAGCCAAGAAAAATGAAAGTTAAGCAGAGCATGAGCGGGTTGCTCTGTCTACTCAAGGACAGATAGACACTACTGGAATGGACAGATTTGCTTTTTTGTGGGCACCTAAGACTTGCAGAGAGCAAGTAACCAATATTTTCTCTTTGAAATCATTTGACCAGTAGAGAGTGCCTTATCTCTCTCCTCTCCCCAGCCTTGAAAAAGCCTTCTTCATCTGTAAAATAAATAAAACATTTGGGGTATTAAAACCAGTTTTAGTTGGCATTGCTACTGATTAGAATGGCTATGTGTTAACCTAAATTCTGTCTGTTGTGGCAGTTTTGCCCAGTCTCCCTTCAAATGATGGGCAAGACTGCTCCATGAGTTTACTCCTGTGTAACCCAGCTAAAAATGAAACTTTCCTGTTTGCACCATACCCTATGATTGCAACAGGAAGAAGCTTGGGTAAAGTGGAACCGTAAGACCCATCCATCACTGGAGGGACAATTTGCTTTTTTTGCAACTGTGCCCTGTTTGAAAGAATCCATAGCCTTTTCAATTCTATTTTGAAACCTGTTTCTTAGACCTGCTGTGGGGGTGAGAGACCTGTAGGAGATTTGACTTTATGGATGTGATGATTGGTCTGGCAGGGAACAGGATCCATCTGGTCACTTCAGTCCACACATTTCATTATCGATGTATTTTTATATGTGTGCAGCTCATGTGACATGGCCTTGCCTTGGAAATGAGATGTATGTTCAATGATCTATCAGCCTCTTTCAATATTTTAATAATACAGAAGACTGCATACTTGCAATAGGAAACTCAAATGAATTTTTACTGGGATTGCTCAATAGCAGAAAATTTCTACAATAACAAAATATCTTCCAGATAATGATCTCTTTTCACTGAGTAATTACGTTCCCTGTTTGTATCAAGGATGTTTCTGTTTAAATCAAGGAAGTTTTTATCAAGGAACTTCCACAGCTATATAAAAGCCAAGTGATAGACCTATTTTTTCAGCCAGAATAGAATATCTTCTTAATTCCCGAGTCTGAGACTCAACTATCCACTGCTCCTTCATCTTATTTAGATTCATCTTCTGTTTGTTAGGGTGTATATAATCAATCATAGCCTCTAAGAAACTGCAAGCATCTGCACCTTTCTTGAATCAGGTGAAGATAAAGTTGTATATCATTTTTGTATGGCATGGATGAAATCATACTAAAATTCCAGATTTCTTCCTCCAGTGCTTCAATAGCAAGAATCAAAAGGATGGCATCCTACGTATAAACAATAATCAATTCTTAAGTTACTCTTTAGTGTTGGTCTAGCAAATAGGAATGGAACCTGTGATTTCTCCCAGCCCCCAAATTACTGAGACATCTATCAATATTTCTCATTCAATAATATCAAACGCTGCTGAGAAGTCTAGAAAGTGTATTAATGGTTGGTATGCCCTGTCTTTCAATACTTTCAGAGGTCATTGTCTTTGAGCAAGAATAATTGGCTTCTTTCAGACCAGTAACACCTTGCCTGTCACCTTACCCTAAAAGTGGGCATATTTCAGTGGGCTGTAGAAAAATCATAGGATCCAGCTCTAGCAGCACAGCCTCTTTTAGGATATCAGCTCCTTGCATAAAGTGGCATTAACTGTTTCTCACCCATCTGGCTACATTTTCCTGCCCACCTTTATCAGCTGTAATGAGAAAGGTTCTTTCCTTGACTCTCAGTATCTTTCCAGTTATATAGGACAGTACTGATCTGGAGTAGCATATTAGTGGCTTGTTTTTAGCATTAATTGGCAGCAATCATCTGAAAAATTATTCTATGTATTGTAAATATTAGTTATGACTGATTCTGTTCACAGAAAATAAAAATCTGGAGTGCTTCCCCTGCCTGTGTGAGGGACTGAATTACTAGGAAACTACAACACACAAAAAGATCAGTGTTATATCCAACATTAAGAAGCCTAGATCTGACTATTACAGTTTGAAGATCAAGTTTGTAAGAAAAAATCATGGTAGCAGACACTGTGCAGATGCAACATTAAGCCTGTTTCCATGCAACATACCAAATCACAATTTACTGAACAACCCATTATTGGCTGGATTCACACAGCATATCAAACCATAAACCTAAGTTTACAAAATGCACCGGTCAGTTATACGCAATATGTCAGAATATAAATAATTTCATTTGGTAGATACATGAATCAACTTGAGTTTTCTATGACTGGCAAGTTCCAGAGGAAAGATCAGTAAAAGTGATTGGGTCATCATTAGGATAAGCAAGGGATATTTGCTTATTGCCTCTAATATTAGGCCTCTATTATTCTTTAATCTTCTCTAATACTCTCTAATCTTCTGATGTTAAATTCAGATTAAAAAATAAAAAATAAACTGGGGAAGGGGAGAGAAATTCCCAAAGCCTGTAAAGATTAACAAGCAAAAAGAGGAGAGAAAAACTGAGAAGTGAGGAATATCCAGTCTAGAGCAAAATACGACTGCATATTTTCTTGAAAAGGTTAAGAATGGCTCAGATATAAATCAAATGCTTTGTACTGTATATAGAAGACTGTGGAATCAATCTATGGTATCTCTGTTTAAAAGGATCCCAGATGGTGAGAGAAAACTCACTTCCTGAGGGTTTGTAAAGTTGGTGCCATTTATAACACATAATGCTCAACTTAATACTCAGCTCTAATGCCTCATCTCACAATAATGTTTCATACATTAAAGAAAACATTTAATTGTTTGGATGTTTTCATGTGGAGAGCAGTGTTATAAAGTAATTGTCACTAATGTACCCTGGATATGAAACATAGAAATTCACTTTAAAGCTGTTTCAAATGTTAGGTTGTGTTCTACTGGCAGACATAATTTGGACATTTTATACTTGAGGCACTTCAGCATTTTTCTAAAGTAACATTATGATCTTAAAAAAAGAAAAATGAAGATTATATAAGCAGTGCTCTTCTCAGAGCCATTACATTTCCTCTATTGAGGAATACTTTTTTGTTCTTTTTCAGAATAAAGCAGTAGTGCATTGACTATTCAGATGTTCTCAACCATACAGAAATTATTTCTGTTTTGATGTAATTTTGTTCTCTGTTTGCTAACCCCAGGCATTGCTTAGATGTTTTATCAAATGAAACTTTCCCTTTGTGGAAAAGTAGTTTACATGTTTAAGTCTTTTAGTTTAATTTCAAAAAGAAAATGGTAGTTATTCCTAGGAAAAGGTAAAACTTTATTAATAGTATGGTAATGCCAAGCAAACTGATGGCTGGCAGGATTGTTGCAGACTTTTAAAAATCTCATCTTTATTATTTTTTATCAATGACTCAATGTGGTGACCATACCTAATTCTCCTAACTCCTCCTATGTTTTATACAATAACAATCTTGTGAAATGGGTTGGGCTGAGAGAGGGTGACTGGCCCAAAGTTACCCAGGTGACTTTCATGCCAAAGGTAGGACTAGAACTCACAGTCTCCTATTTCCTAGCCTGGGGCGATAACCGCTAGATCAAATTATTTTCCTCTATTGAACCTTCTTCCTCACTCATTCCATAGCTAAGATTCTATCTTATCTGCCAACTTGTTTACTTTAGCCAAATTAGATTATCTTCTAACTGCTGCCTGGCAGAGTCTTGGAACTCTTATTACCCTATCAAGCTGCAAGTGTAAATTACTTCTGAGATAAGCACATGAGAGCTGTTTTGAAATATGATTGAAGGATTTCAGAATTGACATTACACACACACACACACAGAGAGAGAGAGAGAGAGAGAGAGAGAGAGAGAGAGAGAAAGACTTATACAAACACCCATACATGCTACATGAAAATATTGTGTAACTATATGGAGAAATATTAATTACCTTTCATGCCTACACATATCTAGTTTTCTTTTTAGTCATAGTTGCTTGCATATGAATCAACCTGGAAGAAATAAAATAAGTTTATTACACATCCCTTGCCTGGTCTCCTGGAAGCTTTTCTTTTTAAATTTGTGGTGATGTAACACCTCCAGTGTAAACAGAAGTAGGCAGTAATTGTGGTTATGAAATATAATTAGCTGCTGAGCTGCTGTCCTCTGGCATGATATTAATATGCATCATGAAATATTTTTAGTCTTTTGTGAAACTCTAAAACTTATACAAAATTCTAAAAATAAAATTTGATATATAGGTATTGATTTGGGCATAGCCATGGATATTATGTCAATTACTTAAAACCGTTCTCAGTAACAGAATGGCCAAACTGTAATTTTGAGTCATCTTCCAGAAATATTCAATATTTTGAAGTTCTTCCTAAGTTAAGGATATTAAATGATCATACCTTAAAAATCTGAAATAAACTCTAGTTTGGTGGGGGGGGGTGTGGTGTGGAGACAAAGAATTAATCAGCTCAGGAGACAAAAAAACAGGCTGTGTTTGGATCTTTTCTGCTTCTGTTGCAGAAAACCACAGAAGGCCTCTGGCCATGCAACGTATATCCTTCCTGCCTGATTCAGATCTATTGAAGAGGAACCCCTTCTTTCTCTCAGCAGTTGGTTCCACAGCCAAACTCTTGTTACACTTAGAAAGTTTTTTGTAATAATCAATTAGAATGCAGTCTGCCTATTATTATTCTATGACCTGCATGCTGAATCAGAATATCCTTTTTCTTTCAAGTATTTGAGAAAACACACCCAATTAGTTCCATCTCTCTTTATCAACCTAACCTGTCCCTGATTGTACTTGATGCCCTTTCATGAAATTTACCATTTTTTTTTCATCCTTCTTAAAAATGTATTGAGACCTGGTTATTCAAGTTTGAACTTAACCAATTCAGAAAAAAATAGATTTATTACTTCTTGGGATTTGGAATTTATACTTCTGTGGATGCAACTTAAAAGTGCATTTGTTTTCCTTACATAACATCCATGGTACTATCTCATATCCAAGTACATTAGTACATTAGTATCAGCCAATATGCTAGGATGCAGTTCCTCTGGTATGTGAGATTCATTCAATAAAGAGACAGTCCTTGATTATGATTCTATTTCAAATTTAATGTTGCCCCTTTGCCTTATTTTATAATATCTTAAAGAATGTATCTTGTTTTGATGCAATAGATTGAATTGAGTAGTTCCAGCTTTTCTTTGTTACCTATTAGCATTAACCTGTCTCCAATGAGCAGCTGATTCTTCTGATTCTTTCATTTTTCTTTTATTTTGAACACATTCAAAGAAGCTCCTGTGGATTTTGTTAACCATCCTTCACTAACTTTTAATTTGTTTTTTTTTTTAATTTTTGCTTCCCTGTGACTGACTGTATAGTCCTGGACTACTTCTTGTACTCTTTCTTCATAATGTGACCTTTTAGTATCTTACAAGTCCCTTTTGGGGGGAGGGGTTGAAATATATAAGATCTTATATATATAGCCTCCAAAGCTAAATTAATCAAGGGTTTCACAATTAAAATAAATTAGGGAAACTGCTTTGTATCTTGTCAAAGAACAGCATGACATGTTTTTTTCCTCTGACCATACAGCCCTTTGTGCAAAAAATGGGTACCTTCCTATAAATCTCTGGGTCTGAACTGTCAAAACAGAAAAGGCTTGAATCTCAGGAATGGCAAGTAGACATATTAAGACTGTTAATAGTCATATGAAAAGCTTAGCAGGTGGTTGAATTAGAAATGTAATTTGTTTTCTAAAATCTAAGTTTACAATCTAGTTTGAATTCACAAGAACTGAAACTACAAACTATTTTATTTTAGATTAGTATTAATTAATATTAATTATATTTAGTCTGCTAACCTATAAAATGTACAATGTCAGATTGCAGATTGCTTAGAAGTTACTTCACGGCTCCCTCATCAATATACCTAAAATATTTAAAAAGAACAATAATATAAAAAACAATGTTCTTTCTTTGTTGCAGTGTTAATTGACTTATTACTTTATCAATCACGTTACCACATTGCAGAATAATGTTTTGACAGTTATAAATGGAGGATTCCCTCTGCTGTGTTTTAGGTGGTTCTTTACCTGCAGGTAGAGAAATGTATTTGACCATGCTAATGCCTGCTTGAAATATGAAAGAGAAGTTATTATCGGTGAAGCTTAAAATGTCTGTATACAATTTTTACATTTGCAGTTTTAATTTTGTGGAGATAATTTAATGCTTCATTAAAATATGATTTTGTAGCCTTTTCTTGGATTCTGCAGGGTTGTATGAACATAGCATACTTAATTTGATCATTAGTCCACCTAGCTGTTTCTGAGCTTTCCTTTTCTACAGCTGATAACTTGTCTTTCCTTAGCATAGGTCCTGTCTGCTTCAAATATTGCAATTGTCCCATTTAATTTTAGATGCCTGCAATAGCTGAATAATGAAGTCATGGGATTTGATTATCAGATAATGTGGTTTGAAAACAAAAGAACGAAAGAGCCTTTAACTAAGGCCAATCTAGCTGCTATGACTTGGTCTCTTATTTTTCAGATGGTTTTAATATATGTTGAGGAAGATTTTTATCCAGTCTAGATTTTAATGATCTTTCAATCACTGTTTCTTAGGTGTTGTTTCTCTTCTTTCATCTGCTATAGGTGAGCGTCCCTTTCACTGTAACCAGTGTGGAGCTTCCTTCACCCAGAAGGGGAACCTACTGAGGCACATCAAATTACACTCCGGAGAAAAACCATTCAAATGTCCCTTTTGTAGTTATGCCTGCCGAAGAAGGGATGCTCTCACAGGACACCTCAGGACACACTCTGGTGAGTTTCTTGCACTTTTGGTTTCAGCACTAATGCTAGACTGGAGCCAACTCTGTATAGCAGTGTTCTTTCAATCAGCCAGTCCATGTGTCAGTCCATCTGGATCTATAAAGTCTCCATGGATTGAATGTGCAGACTCTGGGGCAGTGTGATTTGTAGCTCAATGCTCTGAACTTGTTTCTAGGCACAAATGTCAGAGACTGAATCTTGTCAACCCTTGTGCTCTAACATTGAGCTTGGTGTCTCTCAGAGCTCCATTAAAGCTGACTACTACCTGAAAAGAAAGGGTTAATTTTCTAATTACAGTACCCTGGTACTATAAATGAAATTGGATCAAAATTGAATTGGGAATTAAATATTCTTCAAAATTCAGAATATTACCTGGAAAACCATGATAGATTTCCCTAAATTCTAAGAACTATCAATGAGTGCGCTGTCAATGAGGATATATCTTTCTTTTACTCTTTTTATATTTGCACTTTCATAATTGAATTATATTTTAATTATAAGAAATAAATCAGTTATGACAACAACTTTCTAGGCCAAGATAATATAAAACATCATAAAAGATTAAGCTGTTTTTTAATTTCAATTTTCCCAAAATTCTGTATAATGTAACTTTGTAAACCATGATTACTAGCCAATTTTTGAAAAAGCATTTGAGCTGGAAACTGATCCACAATTCTGCTTTTATTTTTTGCAAAATATTCCATGCTGGCATATGGAACAAAAATGTTGGGCAATTATCAGTCTATCAATGTTTAAAGTTTTTTTCTCCTTAAAAGGAAAAAGAAGATATAGCTCTGAGAAAGATGGAAGGGTTACAAATTGATGACACTATCTGGAGCATTTGTAACATTCAGTGAATGAATTAAAGTGGTTGCATGATAATTGCGTCTCTGAAAGTACTTCCAATACTTTGCAATGGAGTTGGAATAAATTCTGCTTTCTCTGTCTGAGGAAAATTCTATCCTGTTCTGATGAGACTCTGCCTTTGAATTTTGAATTTACTCTATCTTCAAGATACTCTCAATTAATTTTACTCCATCTGAACAGAATTCTGTAAATCTAAGCAAGCTGCCTTTTGCCACTTCAGTGGCATAGTGAGTTGATTCATACTATTGCTTTCATTGTTTATTTTTTGATAGATTAAACATTCAGAAGTTCTTACATCAACAGACCCATTTCAAGTTAATATTTTGTTCATCGTTTGCTTCCAAACTAGCACACTTCAAGTAAATTTGGGAAGCTCTAAGAGAGTTCTGACTGATGTTATTTTCAACAAGTAAAAGAGAACTAGGGCAACAGGTATGAAATTTGCATACTGAAGTTACCAAATTGAAGTAAATCACTCTTGATTGTTTAGAACAAAATAAATGGATCCAGAATAACTTAAAATACAAGATAGTTAAGGGAAATAAAGACAAAATAAAAAGCAAAACATAACCTCTCAAACTGTTTACAATCCATAAAAGTATAAAATGCATTCTGTTTCTGCTTCTTTCTGTTATAAGCATATATCTCGGTTTCACCAATTTCAGTAAAGTCTATTTATCAGAAACATTTTGCCATGCCCCAGCCCTGTCAGTACCTGACATGTATCTCAAAAAATCAGTTTCTTGTTATACCATGCTACAGAAGTATGGTGGGGTAGCATAGTTTTTCGAAGTTCCCTAGGCTTAACGTTGGTAAGTTAAAGTTCTTAAATGTAATCAAATTTAAAAAAAGAAAAATACCAATCCTGAATCTGTCCTAATAATGCTCTTAAAGCTACCAGGAGTCATATGATTTTGGCACCATATAGCCAGTTTGGACTAGTGGTTAAATTCTAGTCCTGCCTTGGGCATGAAATCCTGCTAGGTAATTTTGGACAAGTCTCTGTAACTCAGACTAACTCACCTCACAGGATTGTTATTGTGGGGAAGATAAGGGGAGGCGAAGAGTGTTAGATATGTTCACTACCTTGAATTGTTTACAAAAATAATAAAGGTTGGTATAGAAATAATTAACACGGGTTTTATTGTGCACAAAAAACAATGTTTTGTCATGTGGATTTCTTACTTTCAAAGAGTGCTTTCTTTTTGATTTCTAACATTTGACACCTCTAATGCAGGGCCTTAAGCAGGGGTGGGATTCTACCAGTTCACACCTATTCGCTAGAATCCGTTTTAACATTCGAAGCAGTTCGGACAATTAATTACTGGCCTAATCCTGTAAGGAAGGCAAGAAGGAAACATTCTGGTGTTGCTTACAGAAACTGTCTCTCTGTTAACCCTTATTACATTCTTGGCAGGACTGGACTTCCTGTCTCAGGAATGTCTCTGGAGTTTTTTTTCCCCTCCTTTGCTGGTACTTTGCTTGTGTGGAGTGACCATTCAAAGTTACAATGGCACTGAAAAAATACAATGGCACTTATGACTGTTGCAGCATCCCCACAGTCATGAAAGGCCAGGTGAGGAGATGCATGACTCGCTGTGAGTGATATTGAGTTGGCCATGCCCAGCCAATAACAAGACCACCAAGCCACACCCAACTAAGCCACGCCCACAGAACTGGTTGTTAAAAAAATTGAATCCCACCCCTGGCCTTGTCCCTTCTTTCTTTATGATGGCAGCTCATTCAAATTGTTATTAATAGAAAAGCTTTTTATCCTAGATTGAAAAGAAAAAAAGATATATTATAAGTAGTATGGTTTCTATATGTCTATAGATAAATAGAGGCAGTTATTTATGAAAAGAAGTGACATACTTAAGGAATAGAATAAAATACAACTATACTGTGGGAAACATATAAATTGCAAGGAAAGAATTCTCAAGGACTTTGGGATGTAAACATTAACTAAATGTATCCATGAGTTTTTGACTGAAGAAAAACAAACATCATTGAAAGTTCCAAAGAAACATAGTTTTAGAATACTTGTTTAGTGTAGCTACATGGTAGACCTATTCTCTGAAGTGATTTGAAAATGAGTATGCCAAAGCCCAAGGTACTTTCAAGCTCTCTTAATATACTGACTTTTTAGAAGAAACTTCTCAGCTGTTAACCCACCATTTTTTTAAAAAATCTTTGTAATGTGAAAGTAGAATAAGAAAAACATTACATGTATTACTAAAGTAGCAGAACTCAGAAATATAAAGCAACTATCAAATAAACTTGATATTATCCAGGAGATAAAAATCATGAAATTTCTGATCAGCTATTTATAGATTATTGGGGTTCTCTCAAGTACCTAATGGAAATTAAAGTATTCTAAAATAAAGAAATTCTGCCAGGAATATAGTTTTGCTGCTCCTATTTCTACATATGAGGCCAGATGCAAGAAGGACAGGTTCTTCAAAGTGGAAATTTGACAAGCTTGAGGCAGTTTTTTTTCTACAGAAAATGTGAGCTACAAAAGAGACAAAGATGAACTTCAGGAACTCTATGAGAGTAATTAATGGGAAGTATGTTACCCTACAGCACAATAAGAAACTCACATAACAGTCTATGGACATGAAACCTTATTTGTACTAAGTACACTGTTTCCAGTATGGTCTAGAAATTCATAAATTCTGAGGGTACTAGTTAATGTATGGGACATCTATAGAAAGAATTCTTTTAACTGTCTTTTAAAATCTTCTATTTAAGAATTCAAGGATAACTCATACAAATTTTCTTCGCATTCTGTTTTATAATCTTGTTGAACATGTCATCCTTACTTCTGTATGCACATATAACTCTTACATATTCCCTACTTTAAGACCTAATAAGTTATAGTATTAGGAGTTCCATTTTCTATAGTTAAGGCAATCATATGTATTTTATTTACAGATAAAGTAATAAAATATTACAGTATTTTATTTTATTTATTTTATTTACAGTAAACAAGTTGTAAATGGCTCTTAATTTTCCTATAGCTGAGTCCTACATTCTTTCCCTCACTCTGGAGTGGAGGAAGAGGCTAGAGAGGATTTTGATGAGTTTATATTGGGAAGAGAGTCTCCTTTTCATAGTCCCAACCCTGCCATGTTTCAGTATGAGCTGTACAGGTGTGAGTTCTTCCTGTCATTCTGATGGTCAAGAGTTCTGCATTTATTTCCTTGCATTTGTTTCTTTTTTGTCTGGCTTTAGCCTTCCTGTTTTGACTTTTCAGCAGAACCAATGACTTGCAAACTAATGGGCAGCAACCTAGGGATACCTCTAAGAATCATTTCCAGTAACAGGAGTGAAGAATAGATTCAGATTCCAGTTATGTGACAATGCACTTCTGCTGGCCACAACTTTCCCTAGAAGAATGTGATCCATTTTCTGGATAGACTGCAGTTGGCCCAGGATGTCCTATTACCTGAACATGGTTCATCTGCCAAAATCCCCACCATAAAGTGTTCCAGCAACATTAAACCTGCTGGTTTGGGAATTCAGTTAGCTGGTTACAACTATGTATCTGGACTTTGAGCAGGATCATCTCAACATTTTTGGCTAAAATACCAAAAACTCTGGAGGGCCTCCTGAACACAATAGAGGAATTCAGAGTATCAGAAAATCTGCTAGTTTCCTTTCAGGAACCCCACTGTCACTAAGATCATAATCTCCAAATTTTGACCTGCATCAAATTAATCTGCAAGACTCAGAATAACCCTGTTTCCCAGGGGATTGTCACTCATTCCATGAGAACTACAACCATCCTGGTCTTTCTTAACACTAATACCATCCTGGGCATGGCCAACAGTTGCCATGTATCTTTCATATTTTCTTTCATAAAGCAATATCAGATTAACTCGTATGCCTCATCTGAAGCATCTTTCAGCATGAAGATACTACAGAACATAGTTCATAGAAAGGGATAGAGATACAATTTACTCCCAGGAATAGCTCTAATATCTTCCAGTTGGCATCCTGATTTAGCTGTAGAAAAAGAATATACAAGACTTATTATGAAGATTATTTTTCTACCATAGATTCAGGTCATCACCCATCAAAGAATAATCAAGAAACATTCTGAGATCCATTATTCTCTGGGA